TATTATTATTGTTGTTATTATTATTACTATTATCATTCTTATCATTATAACTATCATTATTACTGTTATTATTATTATTATTATTATCATTATATTTATTATCATTATCATTGTCATTATCAATAACTACAACTACTACTCTTATCTCGTAAATATTATCCTTATTATTATAATTATTATTGTTCTCATTTTTTCATCGTCATTAAAAGGCTTATCATTTCATTATTATCATTTTTACTATTGTAATGATAGTAATAAACATAATTACTATTATCATTATTATTAAGCTCATTATCACTATTGTTATTTTCGTTATTGATCATCATTATCATTATTGTTATTACTATTATCCTTAGTTACATTATTCTTATTACTATCATTATCGCTTTTAATAATATTATCAGTTATCATTGTAACAATTAATGTTATTGCTCTTATCATTACCATTATTATCCTTGTTATTATCATTGTTTTGCTACTATTATCATTATCATTATTGTTATTATTATTATTAGCATCATCATTATCTTTTGAATTACTGTTATTATCATTATGATTATCCTATTTGCCATTAATCTCACGATTATCATATCGTAATCATTATCATTATCATCATCATTACTGTTAACACGGTTATCATTATTACCATAATTATCGTTAATATTACTACCATCATCACTATTACTATTATAATCATGATAATTATGAGTATTACTCTTACTATAATCATCCTTATTATCATTATTTTTATAGTAATACTGATGATAATAATGATCATTATTATCATTATTGTTATTATTATCATTATTGTTATTGTTATCATTATTATCATTACTATTATCATTATTGTTATCATTATCATTATTATTGTCATTATTATTATTGCTATTGTTATTATCATTATTAATATTATCATTGTTACTATTATATTACATTATTATTATTATTATTATTATTATTATTATTATTATTATTGTTGTTGTTGTTGCTATTGTTACCATTGCTATTACCATTATTATCATACTCGTTATTATTACTCTTATCATCATAATTATCATCATTGTTATTATTATAATTATCATTATCATTGCTATTGTTATCGATATCATTATTTCCTTTATTTTATTGTTATTGTTATAATCATCATTATCATTATTGTTATTAGTATTATCATTATTATTATTATTATTATTATTATTATTATTATTATTATTATTATTATTATTATTATTATTATTATTATTATTATTATTATCATCATTATCATTATCATTATTATTAACATTATCACGATCATTTTTATTATTATTATTATTATTATATTATTATTATTATTATTATTATTATTATTTATTATTATTATCATTATCATTATTATTATTATTAACATTATTATTATTATCATCAGCATCACCATTATCATTATCATTAGTGTTATCATCATCATTATTATTGTTGTAATCATTATCATTACTATTATTGTTACTATTTTTTTATAATTACTTTTACTGTTTTTGTTATTGTTGGCATTGCTATTATTATTATTATCATTATTATTATTATCATTATTATTATTATTATCATTATTATTATTATCATTATCATTATTATTACTATTATTATTGGTAATGCTATTATTATCATTATCACTTTCATTTTATTATTATCATCATCATTATTATCATTATTGTCATCATTATTATTATTAATATTGTCATCATTATTTTTATTATTATCATTATCTTTATATTTACTATAATTATTGTTATCATCATTATTATCATTATCCTTATTGTTATTGTTATTATTATCCTTATTGTTATTATAATTATTATTGTCATTAATGCTACTACTGCTATTATCATCATCATCGTTATTATCATTATTATCTTTATTTTTATAACTATTATCATTTGTATTGGCATAATTACTACCATTACTATTCTTATCATTACTATTATTGTCATTACATTTTTTTCTATAATTTTTTCATCATTATTATTATTGTTGTTATTATTATTACTATTATCATTCTTATCATTATAACTATTATTATTATTATTATTATTATTATTATTTATTATTATTATTATATTATTATTATTTATTATTATTATTATTATTATTATTATTATTATTATTATTATTATTATTATTATTATATTATTATTATTATTATTATATTATATCAATCTCATTATCTTTATTATTATTATCATCATTGTCATTATCAACAACTACAACTGCTACTCTTATCTCGTAAATATCATCCTTATTATTATTATTATTGTTCTCATTTTTCCATCATTAAAAGGCTTATCATTTCATCATTATCATTTTTACTATCATAATGATAGTACTTAACATAATTACTATTATCATTATTATCATTATTATTAAGCTCATTATCACTATTGTTGTTATTGTCGTTATTGATCATTATCATCATCATTGTTATTATTGTTATCATGTTGTTGTTGATAACATCATTATCATTGTT